TGTTTGTAACTGTTGCGTTGCGCTTGAATAAACCTCTTTTGTGAACCACACGTGTCACGGGAGTTTCTCTTGTCGAACGGGGCATTCCTTATACGTAACAGGCCAAGGGCAGGATCTCTCCTCCCCAGCCACCACCGACTGGAATTGGCCCCGGAAGAAGCTGAACCAGCACAACACAGTGCTGCTCGCCCCAATCCTCTGAGCCGATCCAGAAGGATACCACAGTCGATGGTATCGAAAGCTGCCGAGAGGTCAAGGAGGGATGCACAGCCCCCATCCCACCCCCGCCAGAGATCATCCAGAAGTGCGACCAATGCTGTTTCTCTCCCATACCCAGGTCTGAATCCCGACTGAAAGGGATCCAGAGAATCTGCTCCATCCCTCTGACCTCTGAAGCTGTCGCGCAAACGCCTTCTCAACTACCCTACCCAAAAAAGGGAGGTTAGATACTGGATGAAAGTTGTCCGGTATGGTGGGATCTAGCGATGGCTTCTTTAGGGGATGCACCAGAGCCTCTCTAAGGGGGAACTGAACTACCCCTCCCTCAAAGAAGAATTAAGCACTGCTAGAGCCCACTCACCTGACACCCCCCAGGCCGCTTTCACAAGCCGGAGGGGGCATGGAGCCAGGGAGCAGGTGGCTGAGCTCACAGCCCCAAGGACCCTGTCCAGTTCCTCAGGTCCAACAGGTTCAAACTGTTCCCAAATAACAAGGCGAGACTCCTCCCTAGGCACCTCCACTGGACCTGCAGTAAAGCCAGCGTCCAACTGAGGACGAATCCGAGCGATTTTATCCGACAGATGCCGAGAAAATTCCTCCGCACGTCCCTGCAAAAAGTGCTCCGGGCCCCCTTTACCCAAGAGGGCCTGTGTCACTCGAAACAGGGCTGCAAGCGGCAATCTATGGATGCAATAAGGGTGCAGAGTATTGTCGCTTTGGTGCCCTTGCTGCCACCAGGTAGGCCTTAACAGCAGCTCTAACCCATGTCTGGTCGAGCTCATCCTTGGTGGAGCGCCAGCGACGCTCTAGACATCTCTCCTCGTTTCATCTCCCTCAGCTCCTCCATAAACCACGGGGAGTGACGGAATCCATGGGAGGGGAGAGGTTGCACGGATGCGATCCAATCCAAGGCCTCAGCCGCCCTCTTATTCCAAGATTACCTTCCTTGCATTTTATCATTTCCCAGGAACTCCATCTTCAGTCAATGCAGGGGCGCCTCTTCCCGTGTCCATTGTGCTAAAGTGGGAAATTGGGGGGTGAGGTGGGAGCCACAGAGTAGATGGAGCCACGTTACGCATATGCGCAAGGGATTGTTTGGGATGGTGATTGCCCAGTTTTAGAACCTAGGCTATAATTTTCAGCTATTGTCCACCTCAGAATGGCTGGAAACTTCATTCTATAAGCTTTTGCTTTAATCATGGTTTGTTGACCATGCTGTAATTGGTTGGGTTTGTACAATCTGCCAATCCACAAACAAGCAAGCTGCAAAACCCCAAAACTGGTCTTTCACCCAACCTGGAACTTTTCATGAAGTTCATGAAGAAACTTTAAAAACACCGGGATGGTTGCAAAGAAATCCCAATGATAGGACCTGGGAGATGGGGCCTTGCTATCTCACAATCTTTGGATATATGTTAGTCTTCAACTAACAACCATTCGTTTAGTGACTGTTCAAAGTTACAACAGTGCTGAACAAAGGGACCTACAACTGGTCCTCACACTTCCAACCGCCGCAGTGCCCCCACAATCCCATGATCATGATCTGGATGCTTGGCAACCAGCTCACACTTATGATGGTTGCAGTGTCCTGGGGTCGCGATTGCCATTTGCGGCCTTCTCAGCTGGCTTCCAGCAAGCAAAATCAATGGGGAACTGTGCGATTTGCTTAACGACTGCATGATTTGATTAATGGCCGTGATGATTTGCTTAATGATCGCTGCAAAAAAGGTTGTAAAATCAGGCACAACTCACTTAACAGCCACCTCACTTAACAATGAATTTTCCAGTCCCTATTGTGTTTGTTAAGCGAGGACTACCTTTATAGAGACTCCCACCATCATTGGGAGTTTCAAGAAACATTAAGTTGCAAAGATTGGATTTTGCCTCAAATCAGATAAAAAAATCAGGTTGAGAACCGGCAAAACATTTAAGCCCCCTGCTGTGCTTCCTCTAACTCAGGGGTGTGCACCCAATTTTTACATAGTGGCTTATAAACTATTTGTAGGGCCCTGACTAGGCCATTTCTTCTACTCCCCATGACCCTTAATTTTGTTTTAGCCCCCTTAACAACAAAGCATATTTGAACTCAGAAGCTTAACTGATTATTGGGTGTGGCTTTTGATCCCTTCAGAACAGGTTTCCCTGCCTGGGGGCTCTAAAGTTGCTTGATCACAACTCCCATCTAGAGATAATGGGAGTAGAAATCCAACCTAACTCACCTCACCCCAGATTAGAAAAACGACTCACCGCCATTCCCTTTAATTAATGCTAGCCCACCTCCTGGTGGCAAGACAAGCATTGGACATAGGAGGCAAGAAACACAACATTGGCTGCTGTATATAGATAATGTAATTTTATTTACTCAGCAATCCAAAATAATTTTCTTTCTGAGATACAAAAATAATTAGAAGCATTTAGAACAGCAGCCAGGTTTAAAGAACTGGACCGCAAAGCAGGATTGATACAGGTCAATCCAGCGAGAGCGAGGAGACTCCCTCCGGCAACCTTGCCCCAGCTGGTGTCCTCCAGATGTTTGGGACTTCAACTCCCAACACATCTAGAGGACACCAGATTGGGAAAGGCCATTCTGGGGCATAACTGGCCACATTCGGTTGGAAAGCATTGAGTGGGGGACGTGGGACAGGGAGTCGCTTCAGAGAAACCAGTGTTTTTTGACCTTGGCAACTTTAAGAGGTGTGGACTTCAAATCCCAGAATTCCCCAGCCAGCATTCTGGGGAATTCTGGGAGAATGAAGTCCACACCTCTTAAAGTTGCCAAGGTCAAAAAACACCGATAGAAACAGACGAGTTAGTTCTCTGATGAACTATTTGGGAATTGCCGCTCAGCCAGGAGACAGCAGCTCTCCTTGATGGTGGTTCCAACCATGCAGGGTCTTCTTGTTGATGACCTCCCACTTCTGGAACTTTCCACAAAAATGGGTGCAAACTGCCACTGCCCTGTTGGCTTTTCAAGATGCAGATGGCAGGTACGTATATATTACATACATATATTACATTTAAATACCTTGGCCTTTCTAAGGTGCATAAGAGATTGCAGCCCCTCCCCCCGACATTTTATGGTCACAGTCACACAAAGGGCAATTAAGGCTGAAGAACTGTGATGGCCAAGATCAACTAGCTATACTCTAAATTATAAATATATATTTAAGATGAAGAACTTATCTGTCGGCCCCAAATCTCGTCCACATGTTTCTCGGCCAGCTGCTTTCAAACAGTGTTTCTGGAGGGCACCAAGTTGAGAAAGGCAGATCTATAGTGTTAGATATGGTCCCCTTTAAGGGTTTAATTTATTTCCTTTTTTAACTGTAGGATTCAAAACCACTCAGAGAGAGAGTTTTGGCACATAGCAGGAAATAAGATATGAAGGCAAGGAGATGACCATTCTGGAAAACTTGTTTTCTGCCCAAGAAATCTTGATTGTAATTCCTAGAAAAAAATGGAAAATCATGTTTTATTTCTGTTTTATCAGTTCTCAACAACTCATAGCAACATGCCCGGTCTTATCCTTCTATGCTATTCTACCTTCACAACAACCTGCTTAACAGCTGGTGAGAGAAAAAAAAATGTCTGAAAAGTGCTTTAAAAGAGCTTGTAAAAGATTTAAAACCAGGATTGGCTATATTATAGTCCTGTTCACACAACATGCTTAACTGAGCCATGGAAGCAGAAAGTCTTATGAACAGGAAACTCCAGAAGAAGAAAGAAGTGGGAATGCCTGTTAAAAGATGCTGGCTCTTTGGATGATCTGGCTGTGGACTGAAATATAATGGTTTGAATTGCTGTTTGGAATTCTTGTCAATACAATTTTTAAAAGTAGCATTAAAAAAAATGATCTGAAATTGGATGCATCTTTTGAATGGATTTAAATGATGTTAGAAAATGTTTATTATTTAATTGTACATTGTTCATCCTCTGGAGTCTTTAGATTAAATTAATCGATCAGAGCACCACTAGCTGCAAGGTGGATGGACTCAATTAGAGTGTTGATGGGGGCACCGTTGGAAGCTCTGAAGACTCAGGCAGGGGAGTCTTTTTTCATCCTGGAAAAAATCTGTCACTGAGGTCACTAAGTCAACACTGACTTGATGGCACATAATCAAATCAAAATCTGATTAAAATATGGTTTAATTTTTAGGAATACTCATTATTGACTAATTGAGAGTTTGATTGATGTACATGCCATCAAGTTGGTGTTGACTCTTGGTGACCACATAGATTTTCTCCAGGATGATCTGTCCCCAGCCTGGTCCTCCTGGTCTTCCAACGGTGTGCCCATCACCGCTGTAACTGAGTCCATCCCCCTTGCTGCTTGCTGTCCTCTTCTCCTCTTTCCTTCCACCTTTCCCAGCATCAGAGCATTCTCCAGAGAGCTGGTTCCTCGCATCATGTGTCCAAAGTAGGATAATTTGAGCCTGGTCCAGTGTTGTCCAAACTTGGCCACTTTAAGATGAGTGGACTTCAACTCCCAGAATTCCTCAGCCAGCCATTCCCAGAATTCTGGGAGTTGAAGTCCACTCATCTTAAAGTGGCCAAATTTGGACAACACTGGCCTGGTCCTTTGTGCCTTGCCTGAGGAACTCTGGGTTCGTTTGTTTGATGTCTTGGCTGCCCAGGGTATTCCCTGGAATCTTCTCCAACACCAAAGTTCAAAGGCGTCAATATTCTTCCTATTCAGCTTCTTCAAAGTCCAGCTTTCACTTCCACAAGGTGTCACAGGGAATACCATCACCTGCACAGATCTGATCTTTGTAGGTACTGACACATCACGGCATCTGAATCTCTTTTCCAAGGCCTTCATGACCGCTCTGCCAAGCGGTAGTCTGTGGTGTATTTCTTGACATTTTATTCCTTTACTGTTGACATTATGGGCTAAATCCATCCTTTAAAAATGATTTATGTTACTTCTTTGAGAGAACAATGATTGGGGTCCTGGGGAATCAAAAAAGGAACTTACCCAAACTTAGTGTCTCGGTGTAGACAATGCAGCTCTATACAGTAGTTTGTACGAGGAATAAGTTCCCATCCACACTTATCTGAAAGAATAAAAATCAGAATAAGAGATTTCTGTTGATCATGAAACACAGAGACTTTAATTTGAGCAGAAGAGCCAGTGATTTGACTCAACCAACCAATTTAACACCTATTAGGAACATAAAGCATAACCTAAGCGGTGTCCTGCTGGATCAGACCCCTGGCCCATCTACTCCAGCAGCCTGTTCTCCAAAGGAGGCCCACTGGTCTCCCAGCAGATGGCCTTCAGAGGCAGCCACCCTGCCATCCAGGCCAATAGCCATGGGTTCCCAGGACTTCCATGAACTGGTCCAAGCCTTTTTTGAAGCCACCAAGCTGGTGGCCAGCACAAACCAAAGTAAACCTTAAGCCTTTGGGGTCAGTCAGAAAACACCAGTGGGCATAGCATTAACCATGGGATCCTCAGTTCAACTCTTTTAAATGACTGCTGTTTTGTTCCTTTTTTTAATGTGTGCCTTTGAGTCCCTGTTGAATCCTGTCCACTTGGCAAGATTTCGGAAATGCTTTGCCATTGCCTGCTTCCTAGGGCTGAGAGAGAGGGACTGGCCCAGGGTCACCCAGCTGGCTTCGTGCCCAAGGCAGGACTGGGACTCACGGTCCCCCAGTTTTTATCCTGGTGCCGTCACCACTACACCAAACTGGCTCCTTTTTGCACGAGATCCTGCCAAAATCTTTTAAGACCTGCCAGATTTCAGACATTTATTGATGTAGGAAATGTATACACTGCCTCAGCCCAATTGGACTCTAGGGAGCTTTGTAGGTAATATAGTAAAGTACAACGACAATAATAATCATCCTGATATCAATTTATTCAATAAAGTAAAACTAAATCTTAAATTGATGACTCCCTAATCCAGTGGTTCTCAACCTTGGCCACTTGAAGATGTGTGGGCTTCAACTCCCAGAATTCTTTAGCTTTTAAACCTAAACCTGGACAGTATTATGAACATCAACCTTTTTTTCTCTCTCCCACGCTTAGTCCCTACATTTTCAGTGCATTCGAATGCAACTGTGATGGAATGGAATTATGAAGGCCAGGCTCAGAGAGATAAACATTTTCTTAGATCGTCAGAAAAGG